TTTTCCTTCCCCCTTCTCCTCCATTTCTCCTCTTTCTCTTCTTTCCCTCCCCATCCGGTTTTCCTCCCCCCTTCTTTTCCTCTCCTTTCCTCCTCTGCTCCTCTCTCCTTTCCCTCCCCCTCCCCATTTATCCCTTCTCTCTCCTCCCCCTCCCCTTTTCCTGCCCCTCTGCTCCACTTCCTTTCCTTCCCCCTTCTCCTCCATTTCTCCTCTTTCTCTTCTTTCCCTCCCCATCCGGTTTTCCTCCCCCCTTCTTTTCCTCTCCTTTCCTCCTCTGCTCCTCTCTCCTTTCCCTCCCCCTCCCCATTTATCCCTTCTCTCTCCTCCCCCTCCCCTTTTCCTGCCCCTCTGCTCCACTTCCTTTCCTCCCCCTCCCCCTCCATTTCTTCTCCTTTCCTTCCCCTCAGCTCCTTCCATTCCTCTCCTTTCCCTCCCCTCCCCATTTCTCCTCCCCCTCCCCATAATCATCCACTCACCCATTTAGCCCTGATGATCTTCCCTGGTTGGGTCCTAAAAGCCCAGGGACCACCAACGCCCCCAAGGGAGGCTCTACTCCCACATACCGTAAATTGATCGGCTTCTTAAGCGGGGAATGGGGGGGGGGAGTGTAAGAGCGCCCCAGAGGTCATCCAAGCGGTCCCCACTTCTCCCCCCTCCCTTAATCCCTCCCCATTCAGCCCCCCTTCTTACTCCCTCCCTCCCTCTCCTCCTCAGGGTCCCCCTCCCTCCTGTCAATCACGTCCCCCCCCCACCGGGGCCCACCTTGAGGGTCACGTCGCACAGCTTCCCCTGCCTCCTGATCTCGCCCATCACCCCGTAGCCGCGGCTGGGCAAGTCGCCCACCGAGAAGTGCACCAGGTCCTCCGGGTCTAGCTCCGGGTCCGGCCCGGCCGCCTCCAGCATCTCGTCGGCTTCCACGCCAAACCCCGGCTCTGCCGGGACCGGCCGTCCTTCTCGTTCGCTCGCCCGACGCGCTTTGGCTCCACCCGGCCACCGTCGCCTCGCCGCCGGGAGATGGCCAGACCGGAAACCAGCCAGGCCCCGCCCCTTGGCTCCGCCCGCGCTGAGCGGAAGCGCCCGTCGCGGTGGCAACAGAGCCTCCGGAAGAAGCGGTCGCCGGGGCGACGGCGTGCTTCGCGCATGCGCCGATGCCCCTCACTCCCTTCGGAGCAGGTCCTGAGGCGGCTCTTTTTCCACTGGAGAGGATGGCGGCGAGCCTCCCTTCGCCGCTGCCTCCGCCCGGGAGCGGTCCCTGCTAGGTCGCGGCGGCGGATGGCGGCTCTGGACGGGAAGGCCCCGACCCAGGGTAGTGGGCANTCAATAAGTTTAAAAAGCAGCAGGTTTAAGAAATTTTAGGGTCCTTTAAACGGTGACGTGTTATCAGCCCAAACCCCTTATCCTCTTTATCTTCTATCTACTATTGTCCTCTATGACATTTATACTACAGGGGGTGTCTTTGACTTGCAAGCACAATTGAGCCACAATTTCCCACGGCTAAGCCCTGAGAGCTTATAAGGGAGCTGAGGTTCATTTTATGACCTATCTTGCCATGGTTGCTAAGTGAATCCAGCTTCCCTGTTGACTCTGCTTGTCAGAAGGCCGCAAAAGGAAATCACGTGTTCCTAGGACATGCAACGGTCATAAATGTGAGTCAGTTGCTAATAAGGCTCCGGATTTTGGTCACGTGACCACGGGGATGATGCTGCAAGGGTCATTAAGTGTGAAAAACAATCACAAGTCACTTTTTTTTTCAGTGTCATTGTTAACTTTGGTCACTAAACAGGTGGTTGTAAGTCAGGGACTAAATGTACTCTTCTATTCTGCTGCCTTTACAGACAAAAAAAAACTAGCAAGATTGTCAGCTTTGGTCAATTTATGCTGCTCCCTGTTTTTTCTATGTGAGCCTGTGGAACTTGTGGAAAACACAGCCACCACAAAAAACAACCTGACCCAAAATGTGTGTCTGTGTGTATGTGTGTGTGTGTGGGGGGGTATTTGTACATAATCTGCAATAGAAGGAACTCAATTTCCTCAGCAACAACGGTGCTAAAATGCAAGGAATGAGGAAGGCTGCTGGGGGCAGGAGCCGGCAAGATGGTTATCCAGGGTCCCTTCAGCCACCTTCCACCCCTGGTGGTCTGTTTCCCCTCCTCTCCGTATACCCCCTCCCTTCTAGCACTGATGATGTCACCTAGTTGGTCTGCAAGAAAGCAGTTAAGCTCAGAGAGCACCAAGGACCCCCATATTCCTCCTCCTCCTCCTCCTCTCTTCCTTTCCTCCCCCTCCATCTTTTCCTTCTCCACCTCTCCTTTTTCCCCTCCCCTCTTTTCCTTCCTCTGCTCTTTTCCTTCCCTTTCCCCTCCATTTCTCCTCTTTCTCTCCTTTCCCTCCCCCTCCTGTTTTCCTCCCCTCTACTCCCCTTTCCCTCCCCCTCCATTTTTTCTCCCCCTCCCCTTTTCCTTCTCCCCTCCTCTCCTTTTTCCCCTCCCCTCTTTTCCTTCCTCTGCTCTTTTCCTTTCCCTCCCCCTCCTGTTTTCCTCCCCTCCTTCTTTTCCTCTTCCTCCCTCCCTCCTTCTCTTTCTCCCTCTTCCTCCCCCTCTTCCCCTCCTCTTCCTCCCCTCCCCCTCTTCTTCATCCTCCCCTTCTCATTCTCCTTCTCCCTCTTCCTCCCCCCTCCCCCTCCTCTTTCCCTCCTCCATTTTCTTCCTTGTCCCCCTCCTCCACCTCTTCTTCTTCCTCCTCCTCCCCTTCTTCTCGTTCTCGTTCTCCCTCTTCCTCCACCTCCCCTACTTCTTCTTCCTCCTCCCCCTTCTTCTCGTTCTCCCTCTTTCTCCTCTTCCCCTCCCCTTCCTCCCCCTCCTCCTATTCTTCCTCATCCTTCTCTCCTTCCTCTCATTCTTGTTTTCCCTTTTCCTCCTCCTCCCTCACCTTCCTTCCTCTTCCCCCTCCTCTTCCTCCCTCCTCTTCTTCTTCCTCCTCCCGTTCTTGTTCTCCTTCTCTTCCTCCCCCTCTTCCCCTCTTTCTCTTCCTCCTCCTCACCCTGCTCCTCCCCTTCTCCTCCCCTGCTCTTCCCTTTCTCCTCCTTCTTCCTCCTCTTCCTCCTTCTCTTGAAAAAAGAAAAACGTTACCCATCCAACGGACCCCAACTCAGGGCATCTCACCTTGGGCACGGCCACCTGCATGGAGAAGTCCTCAACGTCTTCAGAGGCGGTGTTGGTCACCGTGGCCGTGATCAGCAGCAACGCGGCGGCTTCTCCCGGAGCTCGGCTCATCGAAAACTCGACCAGCAATGCATTCTTTTTGTAAACTTCCATGCGGGTGGGAACGGCCTCTGCGGAAAACATGGTTACGTTGGTTTCTCTTATCCAGACAGATGCGGGACGACCATTTTTCTCAACTTTTAAGATTTTTGGTCTTCCCCAGCCGTAAGTCATATAATAACTTTCAATGGTCACGGTTGTGGCTCAGCAAGAGCCGTTGGAGCTGCCGATGGACTCCGATAGCGAGGACCCCTATGAGTCTGCTAGGGAAGATGTGGAGGACCCTGGGCAGGGTTCAGACTCAGAGCAGAGAGGCTGGTTGGCCACCAGGAGGCGCCTGAGGCATGGAGCAGTGGGGAACATCAAAGGGAGTTTGTCCCTGACACCAGGCAACGAAGG